TTCACGCTGGTTCCCAATATTATGTACTTGGTCCTCAATATAATTGGTGAACTTCGGGTATTGAATTAATTCATCTCTCGGTGTTTTGTGCCGTGTCAAATAGTTGTCAACTTTATGAATTATTCTTTTCCATCTTATGTCTGTACAACATAGAATAAATATATTTTTAAATATCTGAGCTATGGGAATTTTTGAGTAAGCATTTGCATGTAAAGATCTTTCATTTCTGGTAGGCATGTAGATATCTTTCATTTCTAGTAGCCATGGGAATTATTTGCTTGATAGACCCCCCTCTCTCTCTCACTCTCTGTCTATATATACATGTATTTCTATACATACGTGCTTTCTTAAAAATTTTGTACTCTATTTTGCTTCTCCTGTTCACGTGATCTAGTTTTCAATGCTCTAATGTTGTAGGCTGATATCGGGCTAGCAATGGGTATTCAGGGCACAGAAGTTGCAAAAGAGAGTTCAGATATTATTATTTTGGATGATAACTTTGCTTCTGTGGTAAAGGTTAGTGTTATGATCATAAAGTGGCAATTCTTTAGCTTGTCATAATTTTTTGTATTATCATTCCATGTAGTTAGATGCTGTCAGAAATAACAACGAGAATCTAGGAGAAACTAAAAATTGACAATGCGGGGCAAAACTTCTCATTAGTAAATGCCTAATTAGGTTTGGGAGTTGAGACCACTGTTATGTCCTCTTCTGAATGTAAACATTTGTAAACATTGCAGGTTGTGCGATGGGGCAGATCGGTTTATGCCAATATTCAGAAATTCATACAATTTCAACTCACGGTTAACGTAGCGGCCTTAATCATAAATGTTGTGGCTGCAGTTTCTGCTGGTAATGTCCCTCTCAATGCAGTGCAGGTCTGTAATAATCTCTCTTTCAATGGATACAATTTGTTTTCTGCTTGTTAGTTGAAAATTTTAGGTTAAACATTGATTGTCTTACTCTAATTCTTCCGTCTAGCTTCTTTGGGTGAATTTAATTATGGACACATTAGGAGCTCTTGCGCTAGCCACAGAGCCTCCTACGGATCATCTCATGCGCAGGCGCCCTGTTGGTAGAAGGTTAGATTTTTGCAATTTTCTTCGCTCATAAACTACACTACAGTAAAATGCAATTTCAGAACCATCCTTCCTTTTTTTCTTGTCAGATAAGATAATTTATAATTTAATTTTGTATCTATTTTAGTTGTAAAAAAAAATCACCAAACTATAAAACACACCAAAAAAATTAGAGATATATATAGTGATATTAGATAACAAATTCAATCCAACAATTAAAAAAAATATTTTTAAACTAATTAAACGTGGGAAAAATATTTGTAAAATATTTCTATGCATACAAACATTTGAACTAGGTTATTGTAAGAAAATATTTATGTTTTCTAAAATACTTGTAAAGTTTGAGATAAGAAACAGAGACTACCTCTTAATGTGGCACGAGTCATGATAAAGTAGCAAAAGGAAAGAGAAGAAAAAATATCCAAGAGTCGTGGACATTCATCTCCTTATTTCTCTGCAATGGCACTTTTGTGCATATTATTTTTAAGTTAAATATTACTAAATTACTTTCTTTTTAGCAGAATGCAGGACTTGCAAGATTTGAATCTTACGCTATCTTTCTTGTAGACCTTCGTGGTTTAGTTGCTTTAGCAGCAGCTTGCAATTTAAAAACAATGAAATTAAATCACTTAAGTGTCTCATTAAAAATACATCACATTTGTTCTTACATCATAAAAGCAAAAACACAAAAACATCTTACAACTGGAGCACAAGATCAAGTTTTTTCATAGTATCTTATTTTCTCTCTTGGTGGATCACTTTGTTGATGTACAGTGTACTTAATAGTGCTCCAAATATCTTACGATCATGACATTGTTCATTATTTAGGGAACCACTTATAACAAACATCATGTGGAGGAACTTGTTAATTCAGGTATGGAACCTTTTTTTGTTGTCTTTATCCTTTTTGTCCTGAGAGTTGTCATTACCGTCTTAATTGTTGACTAAATGCAGGCTGCATATCAAGTCACTGTACTCTTAGTCCTCAATTTCCGAGGAAGGAGCATCCTGAATCTGGAGCATGATTCGAGTGATCATGCTTTCAAAGTGAAGAACACTCTTATATTTAATGCATTCGTACTCTGTCAGGCAAGTGTTTAGATTTTTCTAGCTTTATACAATACCATTGTGCAATACTGGTTGAACATTCTCTTGGTCCTTTTTCTTTTGCAAGTAGATGTATATAGTGTTTGCAAGTTGTTTGATTCTAATATTGATCTTTTCTGGCATGTAACATGGATTTCTGTTTTATGTGAAAAAGAAAAAAAGAACACTAACTAGATATTTGGTTTCACTTGGATGACTCTTTCTACAATATTAGATATTCAATGAATTCAATGCTCGAAAGCCAGATGGAATCAATGTGTGGAAAGGAGTGACGAAGAACCATCTCTTCATGGGAATAGTCGGACTTGAGTTGGTGCTTCAGGTAATTTTATTTATTTATTTATTTGTTTGTTTGTTTGTTTATCACTTCTTTTGTACTTCCTTTCAGGCTCTTAATTATCATCTGTACTCTTATGTTCCCCAATTCTGTATCCAGGTTATCATAATCTTTTTTCTGGGCAAGTTCACTTCTACTGTTCGGCTCAGTTGGAAACTTTGGCTCGTCTCATTTGCTATTGGTTTGGTCAGGTTGTTATGCAATTAGTCTTAGCATTCCGTGTTTGTGTGTATAAATCAACAGGATAATTTTTAAAGAATTGAAAACTATCCTGTAACCAAGTCATTCACAAAAATGTTTCTGGTTATCTTCCAATTACGAATACCCTCCCAAAACATTCAAATACTTGAGCTTTGTATTTATTTCAAAAATACCATCCCAAAGTCAGATGCATTTGTTACATGTGGGCATGTGAAATTTGAAAAAAAACAAAATGATAATTTTGCAAGTATTCGGTCTTACAATCGTTTTATGCTTGCCAATTATCAGCTGGCCGCTTGCTATTGTCGGGAAATTGATCCCCGTTCCAGAGAAAAATTTCAGTGAATTCCTAATCAAGAAAACCCGTCAACCGAGAAATTCTAACGGTTGTACTTTACACTTTATTTTTTATTTTACTTTATTATATTTTCTATCTAAAGCTCAATGAATCACTTTCTGTGTGCACTGTGGCTGGTTAGCTTACAACAAATTATCTAATGTCCGCCCATTTTTTTCAGGTTAACACAGAACTTCATGGATGCCATGCAGTATTCTTTTCTTTAGATACAAAAACAGCAGCATAGAAACAGAATTGACTTGACAAGATTTTGTCCATGGCCATGATGTGAACATATTGTGCATTTGCTGTTGAGTTCTAAACTAACCAAATTATTTTCACAAATTATTATGTGAGATGGTCTAACTGGTTAGGCCTATCATACTTATGGGATGTGATATTTTTTATATTATTTTTTAAATATAATATTTTAATTTAGAATTGTGCATATTCGTTGAAAAGTATAGGAAAATGCTACAATCCAGTTACGGAATCATTCCGTTGGGATTGTAACCGTTAGATCATCAAGTAACCGTCAATGATAGTTGATCTAACGGTTACAAATCCCAACGGAATAGTTCCGTAACCCAAAAGTATAATCCTTATTGATAATTTTTGCTTAAGGGAGAGCGCGTCTTTTTTTTTTCCTTTTTTCTTTTTTTTTTTTTTTTTTTGTTTCTTTTACCAACTCTTTCAACCTCATTCAACTTCCAACATCAACTTACACTCCCATTTACGTCTTCCCTCTATCCACACCACAACCAATACACTCATCCTCTTCACATGATGTACTCCTAAATGCTCAAGTAAGGACAATGAAAAATATAGATGTAGCTCAATATGTGTCATTCAAAGAAAATAGGCAAAAGCTCAAAAGGGTTAACTAGGGAATAAAAATATCATTTGGTAAGCTAAAAGGTCAAAAAGGCTCAAACAAAAATATGCCTTAAATCATTTTCACAAAAACGCACACACCATGTGGTTTCGATAAAGATACCAATGCAAGTTCTAGAATCCCAACAACAATGAACGATACACTCAACAAAAAAAAATAAGGCTCAAACGCTCACAAAGGATCATATATTCATGAATTAAAAACATCAACCAATCATTCAAATTCACAATTCCATCAATTCTCAAATTCCATCACTTAGCACATCATGCCCGAATTATATATCAAATATGCACAAGAAACTCATCAAGGTGGATCAAAGTCGACCAACTACAACTACTTAAATCCTAAGAAAGCAATAAACGTGCTAAAGCAATAAACCTAACATGCAACTAAATGATATGCAAAGATAATGTAAGATATCTTGTTATCTTTCTCTCTAAAATTCTCAAACCAAAATATCACATCTCCCACCAAACTTGAATGAAATTATGTGAAGCACAAAAGGGAAGAATAGAATTTCAATAAAAGTAAAATAGAGAAACTTACAAAACATCATTGAAGAGATGACAACTATTGGTATAGATCTCAAAGCATGTCCTTCGTCATGTAAATCTCTCCACCGAATGTTCTGCAAGGAAGAAAAACAAAATATCAAATAAACAAAAAATNATCAGCCCAGCGACCCTGCCAACTCACGACTCGTGAGTCAACTCGCGAGTAGCGACCCAGTCGACCTTGTTTTAATTTTTTCCGTTTTTTCTCTTTTTTGCTCAGTTTTTTGAGCCCTATATATTGGGATGTGTTCCTAGACCTAAGAACAATTGCCCAAACTCGTTTTTTCTCAATTTCAATCCTAGAACATAAACTTGAATCTTGCTTTTAAGCTTAGATTTCTTCTCTATTTTTCTTAATTAATCTTGTATCCTAGATTCGATTTTCTATCCCGTTTTAATCGTAAGTTTTCTCACCATCTTATATATGAATATGATTACTTGTAATAATTTGATTGATGTTGAATTCAATATGAGTAACTAATCCGATCTGCCAGGAATAGGGATAATATTTTGAATTAGATTGTGATTATTGTGCTTGTTGAATCGTTCAATTTATGCGAGTTAATTTGAAAATAGGATTTTTGATCTTCATGCTTGAATGTTGATAGTATTGAAGAGTGACACTTCATTTTACAATTAGTTTCCAATTGAATATGATTTATTCTCGTGTGTTGTTTCAATCCTAATAAACTAGTCGATTAACCACCTTCTAGTCTATTTTAGTGGACTCTTAGAACTGAAAGGGGAGGAGTCGAGCGATCTAGGCTCGTATAAAATAAGCTTGTTCGTAATTGTATTGCCTATGTGTTAAACGACTTATTAATTTGCCGTTCACGTTTACGAAAAGTTATTGAGGATAAATCTCTGAACGAGTAGGTTATTCGAATCTTTTAACCGAACGATCACATTTTCATTAATTGCATTTCGAATTAAAACGATTATCCCCGACTTCCTAGCTTCCGTATCATAATAATAATAATAATTTATTTTATCACTATTGCTAGTTCCCACTTTTTTATTATTATTATTATTAAACGATTATCCCCGACTTCCTAGCTTCCTTATCATAATGGATGTATTATTAAGACAATATTAGTTATAGTCATTGATTGCTTGTAGTCAATGATAAATTATTCAAAAATAATTTATATAAACTCATCATAATGTATGTATTATTAAGACAATATTAGTTATAGTCATTGATTGCTTGTAGTCAATGATAAATTATTCAAAAATAATTTATATAAACTCATCATAATGTATGTGTTCCTGGAATTAAACTCATCAGAATAATTTATATTTTATTTAAAAAAAAAACGCAGCTTAAAACAACATCTATCACTTAAGAGTATCCGTTCCAGCTATCAGCTTAAAACAACATCGGCGAAATGCAGCCTTCATACACACCTCCCTGGAATTAAACTCATCAGAATACCCATTCCCACCCTTCCAGCTTGAGAGTCTCCGTTCACGGGCCTGAAATTGTATAATCACACTGAATTAGAAGTGACATTTAATTTATCAGAAGAAAAGGAATATCATTAAGTTGCGCATAACTATCGAATTGGAAAAGCTTCATGAAGGGAATCAAAGACACCACAAAGGAGACACAAGCACAAAAAAAAAAAGAAAAAAAAAAAACGCAGCTTAAAACGACATCTATCACTTACCATTTTAAGTGCTTTGTTCAATTCTTTTGATCCAGGAACAAAACGTTTAGCAAGCTCAGCTTCCATAACCTCATCCTATATCATTCATAACTAACTGTTTTCAAACACTTACAATTTGAAGAACAAATTTCCCCAAGCACCACACACAAAAAAGGGAGGAAAACTGAAAAACAAAAAATAGAATTCATCGAACATACGTTTTTTTGGGTTAAAATAAAATAGACTATTACCTTCCTACCAAGAGTACAAATATACCGAAACTCAATAAAAGGTTCATTGTGAATATCCATATCAACCTCCTCCTCATCCTGGGTGGGGACCAATCAAAAGAAATCCAACCAATACACGTGAGCCATGGTTTCCCAATATCGAACAGAAATCAACATACAATAGTAAATAAACCATCGTCTGTATCATAAAAACAGTCAAGGAGACGCTCTCAACATACCTCAACATTATGTCCAATGGTAGCATCAGCATCGGAGGTTTCTACGTAGGTTGGTGGTTTCTTAGCAACGGAAGCAACTAAAGATGCGTCGTCAGGCTCTACCTTTCTCTTAGCAGCTGAACCAGATTTGACTTCCTAATGGAAAGATCATTCATTAAACACAACTCAAATATTTCCATTACAGAACAACATTCATTCATTCCACACAAATATTTTCCATTGAAATCGATCCTTAGAAACGAGTATCCTTCTCGTGACCCAATTAAAAGCAAACCAACAACAGATATATTACTAACTAACATGTTGTCCAACTCAAATACCAGCAATCGAGCCATGCTTCCCCAAATCAAATGATAAAAATCAACACACATTCATAATTAAGCAACTCATCCTTAGAAAGGAGAATCCTCGACATCATAAAAAAAAACATCTAAAGCGCGGCAGTCGAGGAGAAGAACTCTACGTACCTCCTCGAACATATCAGTATCAGAAACTGCTTGTTTCTTAGAAGCAGCAGCTAATGCGTCATCATCGGGCCCAGGTTTTCTATTCACTGATCCACAATCAAACCTCGAACCAGATTTCACTTCCTGATCGAGATACAATTCGGAAAAATTAAAAGAAACATCCAATTTGTTGTCAGCGAAACAAGGAAATTAATTCGAGTTCAAATTTGAGCAATTAAATTATGAAATTAACCAAGCACGCACCTGATCGAGAGCCTTCATGGTGTTTTGGGGTTGATCGCTTCAAGGTAATCGGAACGCCCGAATTGAAATAGGTTTCTTTTGTCTTCGAGTGGAAGTTTTATTATAGTCACATTGGGCCTGTAACTTGTGGTTGTGGGGGAAACTCTGTGGGTTTGAGCCCGATATTTGCCTTAGTCCATCTCGCCTTTGGGCTTTCGTAGAGTGTCCTCTTAGAATGAGTACGTGAGACTCAATTATAGTCATTGATTTTTTGTTGATCAATGACTCATGGGCGATTCTAGGGTAAGGTACCCATGTACTTTTGCTTCTAGTGACTTAACAACAGATGCCTATTAAATGAATGCCATGTGTCCTTTTTGTTATTAAATTAAATAAAAACTCGAAAAAATTGGTTATTGAAATACGAAAATGCCCTTGTACTAGGTACAAGGGGTACAAGGTGTTGAACTTTTCTAATATTAACACTTGGCCTAAACATAATTACATATATCAAATAAACCAACAATTAATCCAAAATTTCATTTCGAAATATCTTCTGCAAATAACAACTCGAAGTTCTTCAGCAAAATTGCATTTTCAGAACCGATAATTTGAAGAACTCGAAGGTAAATAATTTGAAGAACAACCCGAAGGTAAATAATTTTGTTTCCAGTTTCGATAACTGAAGAACATTATGTGCAAGATATTTTCAATTTCTTGTTCTTCATTCAGTTTACCGTCCGGTAATGTGCATCCGTCATTTTGCTTTATATCCGTGAGTTGTAAGACATAGATACGATGAATGTTGTAATGCGAATTTGTCTATGTTAATCTTGATTTTGGGCTATTGATTTTTTATTTTTTTTTGTTTTATTTTTGTCCACTTATTTTTTTTATTTTTTTAAAAAATAAATTACCCAGAGAAAGTAAATATTTTGTAGGGAAAAAAGGAAATAATTGCATAAATTACAGGGGGAAAAGAAAAAATGATAAATATTAGAACAACTTGACATAAANATAAATGGAATAAGGTTGACAATAAAACATAAGCAAAAAATAGTCACATTTTGCTCCAAGGAGAATCCAAAATAACTTTTCAATAATAGTTCTTAAAATTAAGGAATTGAACTTAAAAAAAGGCATCCAAAGTTTATATATATAAGATAATCATTTAAACTTTAAATTAATCTATAATATAAATTTAAAGCATCCACTCAATACATAATAAATTGATTGAGCTATTTTAGTGGAAAAACATGCTCACTTAATTATTGGAGTTGAGGTTTGAATGTAAATAAAAAAAAAAAAATAACATTACCACTTAATTAATTAATTCATTGGAGTTTGGAGTTTAAGTTAAAAAAAACATGTTTTTGAAAGGTTACCCGGGCTTGAGCCCAGGTCATGCAATGCTTAGCTCCGCCCTTGCGCATCGATCCACGGTCGCGAGCAGCGTCGATCCAATGTGGGCTTCGCGCCGATGGACGGCGCGCTGACGACGGGTTTGGCAACATGCGCGACCAGCAACGTGGAGGTGAGGGTAACCAGCAATGGGAATCAGTGTTTCGCGTAGACAAGCCATATTATGACGGACCGCCGATATTCGATGACGAGCCATTTTACGACGGACCGTTGGTATTAGATGAGGAGCCTCCGGGGCCGGAGGATCTCATCATGGAGTGTAATTCTCTTTACAGCAACACCAACAAAGACTGCGCCCAACCTTTTTGGGGAGAGTGTGCATGCCAGGGGCGTAGGTCCTGTTCTAATACCAGTTGGGGATTTTTCACTTCACAAGGTGGAAGATACAATTATTTGTATGCTACATCCTAAGGTTAAGCAAAGTACAATTGAATTGGCAAAATCAATGGAAGATGACGATGACATTCTCTCTTTCATTTCCTACACTCAATTCGTTATACTTTTCGAATTTGGATCTGTAGTTTTGAGTTTTGGCTGAAAAATTAGTAAGGGGAGTATTTCGAAGATTTGGCGCCATAAAAGGTACCACAATCATATCAGTATCCGCATATCAAACATGACGAATTATATCGTGACACGTGTCAAATCGCGATAAATTCCCACTTTTCTCTATGAACACACATCAGCCTGACTGTTGAGTAGCTATATATGAAGACTAGTAAAATCTCACTATTCCAATCATAGAGAGAATGAAAATGAACCCAAATTTTTCATTAAACAAAAAAATATCTTAGCTGCAGACACTATTTTCATTCATAAAACCTACACTCTTCATTCTTCAATCATCATACATGACCCTATTCAATTTCGGAATCCCGACCCTTCTATGGCCGGTGCGGCTAGCTTCTTCTTTACCGGGACTCGGTTTTAGCGGCACCGGAGGCCCGGTGGGAGGCCGTTGACTCGACTATGCCAGGTGGTTGTGGCATCGGTGAGGAAGTATCGCCAGGCTGGACGTCGCCAAGCAGCACGAACTCAACGACTCCGGGAAGGCCCCGATTTCCATATTCTGGCAGGTGGAGTAGCAAAAAAAACAAAAGAAATGTTATTATTATAATAATTGTGAGTGTATTTAATCAGAGATGGTGGCCAACCAATTATTTAATTAGGTGGTTGGTTTGTACAACCAATACAGCCAGGTGGAGAAATAAAAAATGCAAATTGCAGCTGGAACCACATGAAGAATCTGAAGAATCAATTTCTCTTGTTAATTATTAAACCAAGTTGGGATAAATTATTGCTAAAGACGCGTGAAGACATATGCACAATTGCTCAAAATCCACTATAAATAGCGGGGCTCAGCAGAAGGAGAAATACACAGAAGAAAAGAAAGAGAAAAGGAAAGAAAGAAAGAGGGAAAGGAAAATTAGAGGTATAAAAATAATTTTGGAGGGATAAAAATATCAGAGAGAAAAATATAGAAATATTTATTTGTTATCGAAATAACAAAAGAGTGATATTTTCTATTCATATTTTAAGTGCTCAATTCTCGACTCCGTTCCAGTTCGCCGGAGCTCGTAAATCTGGTGTGCTACAGATTTAGAGACGTTTGCCGTTGTATCTTTGGGGAAGTTACGCCTAAACCGTTAGCTGCCACACGGGGCGTATTCTTCTTGCGGAAAGAGTTTTACTCGCCTCGGCTAAAATCTTTCCGTTTTAAGTTTTAATTTATTTTTCGGTTGTAATTTATTTTTCAGTTCGATTGTAATTTTTTATTTTTTAGATTATTTGTATGAACTAAAAAATACATATCAGTTCGTAGGATTCCCGTGTAATTTTTGTACTCGATTTATAACAATCGCAAGAAGAATATCTCAACCTACTGGACTGATGGCTTCCACCGGAAATGGTTCCAACACTCAGCATCCGATCAATCATGTACCTGCTGTCCATGTCCCTACTGCCGAGAAGCCCGAAAAATTCAATGGGCTTGATTTTAAAAGGTGGCAACAAAAGATGCATTTTTACCAGACCACTTTGGGTTTGGTGAAATACCTGAAGGACGACCCCCCGGTTATTGCTGAAAATGAGACCAATACTGAACTACGCACTGCGTACGAAGCTTGGGGGCAAGGTGATTACCTTTGCCGTAACTATGTCCTGAACGGACTTAGTAACGAGTTGTACAATGTGTACAGCTCGGTTGGTTCTGCCAAAGAGCTTTGGGCTGCTTTGGAAAAGAAGTACAAGACCGAGGATGCCGGGGCGAAGAAATTCGTCGTCGGAAAATTTCTTGACTTCAAAATGGTTGACACAAAGACCGTTGTGTCACAAGTGCAAGAATTCCAACTCATCTTGCACGATATTCATGCTGAGGGAATGTCTCTGAGCGAGTCATTCCAAGTTGCGGCTGTGATTGAAAAACTGCCGACGGGTTGGAAAGACTTCAAGAACTACCTCAAACATAAGAGGAAGGAAATGAGTCTTGAAGACTTGATTGTTCGTCTTCGTATTGAGGAGGACAATCGTAATTCATCGGGAAAAATTCCGATGATGGAGGCTCGTGCTAACTTGATAGAGCAAGGCAACTCGAGCAAAAGGAAGTCCCTAGACAAAGGGAAGCAGCCTGCCAAGGTTTGGAAGTTTACCGGAACTTGTTATAATTGTGGAAAGCCGAACCATATGGCTAAAGACTGCAAGAGGCCAAAGAAGGCTGGGCCAAAGAAAGGTAAACCGAGTGCCCTTGTGGCTGAACACGGCCCTGTGCCGGGTGAACTGACCGACTTTGATATGTCGGCTGTGGTGTTTGAAGCCAATATGGTGGATAACCCAAGGGAGTGGTACATCGATACTGGTGCCACTCGTCATGTGTGTTCCGATAAGGAGGTGTTCTCTGAATACACTCCTGCTAAGAGTCGGAAACTTTACATGGCAAACTCCGCCACGGCTGATGTGGCTGGAGTGGGCACTGTGGTGCTGAAGCTGACTTCTGGAAAGGAGTTGAAGCTTAAGGATGTTCTGCATGTCCCAGACATCCGCAAGAATTTGGTCTCCGGATCTCTTCTTGTTGAGCATGGATTTAGGCTGGTATTTGATGCTAAGAAATTTGTTCTTAGCAAGTTTGGAACTTTCCTTGGTCGTGGCTATCTCGACAAGGGTATGTTTAAAATGAATGTAATGGCCGTGAGCCGTGTAACCGTTTTAAATGATAATGAAAAGCCTATTTCTGTTTATACCGTTGAGTGCTCTGATTTATGGCATATTAGATTGGGACATGTAAATCGAAATGCAATTAAACGGTTGATGAATTTAGAATTAATTCCTAATTCTAAAATTGAATCACATAAGAAATGTGAGATTTGTATTGAAGCAAAAATGGCTAAGTTGCCTTTTCACTCGGTGGAAAGGTGTACTGAACCATTAGGCTTAATCCATACTGATGTATGTGATATGAAAAGTGTGCAAACAAGAACGGGTAAAAAGTATTTTATTACTTTTATCGATGATTGCACAAGGTTTTGCTACTTATATTTATTAAGAAGCAAAGACGAGGCTGTGGAAGCATTTAAAATCTATAAGACCGAAGTTGAAAATCAACTCGGCAAAAGGATTAAAATAATCCGAAGTGATAGGGGTGGGGAGTATGTAGCTCCTTTTGAACAAATATGTTCTGAATATGGCATAATTCATCAAACGACTGCCCCTTATTCTCCACAGTCGAACGGTGTTGCTGAACGCAAGAACCGTACGTTAAAAGAAATGATGAATGCCATGTTGATAAATTCAGGATTACCACAAAACATGTGGGGGGAAGCTGTTTTAACAGCAAATCATATCCTGAATAAAATACCACCTAAAGGGAAAGATGAGACTCCTTACGAAATGTGGAAAAATCGTAAGCCGTCTTATAAATACCTGAAAGTGTGGGGGTGTTTGGCTAAGGTTTCAGTACCGGAACCCAAACAAATGAGAATCGGGCCAAAGACGGTCGATTGTGTATTTATTGGATATGCGTACAATAGTACAGCATATAGATTTCTGGTTCATAAATCAGAAAATCCAGAGGTATCTGTTGGTACCACGATTGAGTCGAGGAATGCTATATTCTTTGAGAATATTTTTCCTCTGAAGGAAAGAGCAGAATCTAGTTCTAATAAACGAACGTATGAAACTGCTAGTGGTTCTGTACCAGAGGGTACTGATGAAGAACCGAGACGTAGTAAAAGGTTAAAAACGGCGAAAACGTTTGGACCTGATTTTATTACGTACATGTTGGACGATGAACCGAGTTCCCTTAAGGAAGCTCTGTCCAGCCCAGATGGACCACTCTGGGAAGAAGCTGTAAATAGCGAAATCGAGTCCATTATGCAGAACCATACTTGGGAGTTGGTTGATCTCCCTGATGGTTGTAAACCTTTAGGATGCAAGTGGATCCTAAAGAAGAAATATAAAGCTGATGGATCGATTGATAAGTTTAAAGCACGTTTGGTGGTCAAAGGCTTTAAACAAAAAGAAGGGTATGATTTCTTTGATACCTATTCACCAGTTACGCGTTTAGCGTCGATAAGAGTGCTTCTCTCGATTGCTGCTTTGCACAATCTTGAGATTCACCAAATGGATGTCAAGACGGCATTTTTGAATGGTGAATTGGAAGAAGAAATATACATGGAACAACCTGAAGGGTTTGTTGCACCTGGACAAGAGAGAAAGGTGTGTAGATTGATCAAATCCTTGTACGGACTGAAACAAGCTCCGAAACAATGGCATTTGAAATTTGATGACGTGATGTTGTCAAATGATTTCAAAATCAACGAATGTGACAAATGTGTTTATGTCAAGAGTACATCAAATACATTTGTGATTGTATGTCTATATGTAGACGATATGTTGATCATGGGGAGTAGCCATGAAGTGATCATGGATACGAAAAGAATGTTGAAAAGAAATTTCGACATGAAAGATATGGGTTTGGCTGATGTTATTCTTGGAATAAGGATTATCAGAACCCAAGATGGAATTGTCTTGTCACAATCTCATTATGTAGAGAAAGTGCTCAAGAAATTTGATACCTATGACGGTGCACAGTCTAGGTGTAAGACACCCATTGATCTTAGTATAAATCTGGTAGCCAATAAAGGTCAACCAGTGGCTCAGTTGGAATATTCACGGATAATAGGGAGTCTGATGTACTTGACGAATTGTACACGACCAGACTTGGCCTATCCGGTGAATAAGTTGAGCAGATTTACGAGCAATCCCAGTCATGAACACTGGAATGCTTTGAGAAGGGTACTTAAGTACTTGAGGTACACCCTTGAATACGGGCTAAAATACTCGAGATATCCAGCCGTACTTGAAGGGTACTGTGATGCAAGCTGGATATCAGATTCGAGAGATTCTCGCTCCACTAGCGGATATGTTTTCTGTATTGGAGGAGGTGCAGTTTCGTGGAAATCCACAAAACAAACGTGTATAGCTCGGTCAACGATGGAATCGGAGTTCATCGCTTTAGATAAAGCTGGTGAAGAAGCCGAGTGGCTTAGAAATTTTTTATCCGATATTCCATGTTGGGATAAGACTTTGCCGCCTGTGATGATTCACTGTGATAGCCAAGCTGCTATAGGTAGGGCGCAAAGCAACTTGTATAACGGTAAGTCTAGACATATTCGTCGTAGACATAATACCGTACGCCAATTGATCACAAATGGTGTTATTTCCATTGACTATGTGAAGTCTAAGGAAAATTTGGCTGATCCTTTGACGAAAGGATTGAATAGAGATCAATTGGTAGTTTTGCTAGAGGGAATGGGCTTAAAAATCCACAATGTAAAGAATGATCATAGTGGTAACCCTACCATGCTAAGTGGAGATCCCACGAACTTGGTTCAAAGGGAAAACTAAGCTATGAAAATTCAGTTGAGCACTTGGAACATATGAATGTCCAAAGCTATTCCCTTGAGCACTCCAAGTGCAAGATGACCTGTTGATTGTGGTGAGGGTAAGTCATGTAGACTTTTAATGAATCCCTAACCTTGTAAAGGTGGAGTAATATATGATACTCTTGATAGGGAGGTCACCTATATAAGTGTGAAGTGTGGGCCGCTTCAAATGTAAACACTTATGAATCCAAAGTGATGTCCATGGCCAAAACGGACACAACGATAGAACGGAATGGAGTTAAGATTCTATTGTGTGAATGTCATTGTCTAGGTGTACACTATGGAGGAATAGTTCAAGGCATTATGTCCACTAGGCCGCCAGTGCATCCGATGATATTTACTACGAAAGGTTCAAAGCCAAAAACTACCTTTTCTGATGCAATAGATTTTTGTGAGAATTGAGCACAATAGTATGTTTATTTAAAATACACTCATGTGGGGGATTATAATAATTGTGAGTGTATTTAATCAGAGATGGTGGCCAACCAATTATTTAATTAGGTGGTTGGTTTGTACAACCAATACAGCCAGGTGGAGAAATAAAAAATGCAAATTGCAGCTGGAACCACATGAAGAATCTGAAGAATCAATTTCTCTTGTTAATTATTAAACCAAGTTGGGATAAATTATTGCTAAAGACGCGTGAAGACATATGCACAATTGCTCAAAATCCACTATAAATAGCGGGGCTCAGCAGAAGGAGAAATACACAGAAGAAAAGAAAGAGAAAAGGAAAGAAAGAAAGAGGGAAAGGAAAATTAGAGGTATAAAAATAATTTTGGAGGGATAAAAATATCAGAGAGAAAAATATAGAAATATTTATTTGTTATCAAAATAACAAAAGAGTGATATTTTCTATTCATATTTTAAGTGCTCAATTCTCGACTCCGTTCCAGTTCGCCGGAGCTCGTAAATCTGGTGTGCTACAGATTTAGAGACGTTTGCCGTTGTATCTTTGGGGAAGTTACGCCTAAACCGTTAGCTGCCACACGGGGCGTATTCTTCTTGCGGAAAGAGTTTTACTCGTCTCGGCTAAAATCTTTCCGTTTTAAGTTTTAATTTATTTTTCGGTTGTAATTTATTTTTCAGTTCGATTGTAATTTTTTTTATTTTTATTTTTTAGATTATTTGTAAGAACTGAAAAATACATATCAGTTCGTAGGATTTCCGTGTATTTTTTATACTTAGTTGATAACAATTATTATTAGGCAAAGTTGCATATAAAGGTACCACCTCTAGGGTTTTTGCAATCTAATCACCACTTTTTTGCTATTTGAGTTTAAATCACCACCTTTCGTATGTTTTGCAGATCGAAGCATAAATTTAACGTCTGTAAGATTTTCCGTCTATACCAAATTAGCCAATGCCAAGTCAGCTCCAATCTAACGGAAGTTAAATTTATGCATCGATCTACAAAACACATGAAATGTGGTGTTTTAAACGTAAATAGCAAAATGTGGTGATTAAATTACAAAAGCCTTAAAGGTGGTGTCTTTATATGCAATTTTGCCTTATTATTATTATTATTGCTTTGTTGCTATTATTGATATTAAATTTAATTACTTGTTGCCTCGATTTTTTGCCGATCGGTTTTGCAGGTGCCACAGTACTTTATAATAGGCTTTGCGGAGGTGCTGACAAGTATTGGACAGCTGGACTTTTTCTACGAGCAGGCGCCGGACTCGATGAGGAGCCTTTGCCCGGCACTTTCACTCGCGACTTATGCGCTCAGGAACTATATGAGCTCGTTGATTGTTACGCTTGTGATGGTGTTTAGTGTGAGGGGTGGTGGGCCCCAGTGGATAGACGACGACTTGAACCGAGGCCATCTGCATTATTTTTTCGGGCTTTTGGCCATTCTTACTGTGGTGAACTTGGGGTTGTTTGTTGTTGTGGCAAGGAGGTTCGCAAACAAGAGGTCGGTGGACGATTGAGATCAATAAAGATGAAAAGAAAAAGTCAAGCGGAGTGTTTTATTGCAAAATCGGGAACTATCTGTTGTATGCAGGGCATGATGTGTGTGTTGTATTGTTTGCTTGCATGCTGGAACCTCTCTTGTGATCAAGTCTTGATTTCTGTTGGTACTTTGATATTTCGACGTGCAAGAGTCCGAAAATGTTCGCGATACTCTGTTGTTCAGCGTGTTTTTTTTTTTTTTTTTTTTNTACAGATAATAATCCATTTAAATGTAATGGTGAAATGCTTAAATTTTAAGGGAATGGTGGCTTTTGTTTGTGTTTGTACTACAAATTTGAAAATTTGGGAGCGAAAAGGGGTTTGCTCTTTGAAGTTTAACTTCGAGAAACCACTTGCCAATTGCCAAAAGGTCATTAACATTCTGAAATGCCCTTTGAACTTCAGAACATATTGAGCAGGCAAAGGTTTTATTGGTTTGTTACAATCATTAGAAAATCACCTCTTCAGGCGACAGCAACGTATTTAAGAGTATCATTGCGTAAGGTAATCGTTATGCAAAAACATACTTTTTTCAATAAATTAGTATACTTTTACGAAGATAATTTAAAATATTATATATTCCCAAAGAAAATATAACATTTAATAGTATTATGTATGTGTGTGTTTTTTTCAATAAATATGACAGGTCTAACCAGCCTAATGACTACGTCATCTTACAACATAAATTGCTCAGATAGTACACTCTCATCGACAAAACAATATATATGCGGAAACTTGATTACCATACTCAAAACGAACTCAAGCAATTATGTGTCAACTCATCCCACTGGCTATAGCCTTACATGAAAAATACAGCAAAGTCATAGTCGATAACGGGAGGTGTTGATGATAACAGTTGTCACCTAAACTAATTACAATTGTAACTCCTATGGCAAATCATACCATCATATGCAAATGCTTTTTTAGTAATTCAAAATTCCTAAGTGTCTCGTTTTTTCACAATTTCATGTTACCAAATCCTCGGTATAGCTCATCATCTTGTCCACCTCCAAAACATAATGAGGATCACAACTGTTATAAACATGCCGGCATACTTGATCCACTTGTCAGCACGGTTTCTCCTCTCGATGAGCCTCAGTAGGGAATTTGACAGACCTAAAGTGTTGAGAACATCCAGTGCTTTCCTTTGAGCTCTCTGTATTAAGCCGAAAAAACCGGACAAAAGTTGAGAAGAACCAAGATTTTAAAAAACGAGGATAAAGTAGAGTAAATACAAAAATCATTCTTCAGACAATTTATATAACTCCTCTGATTTGGTACTCCAGGGGTTTGGAGATTTTTTTTTTGTTGTACTGCAAAGATTTTTAAGGATTAAAAAAAAATGCAACATGATGCAAATTGAGCAGATTTCTATAACAGTCTAGTGAGTGCACTTAACGGCCAACATGAACACCACATCAACATGAAGTCAGTAATTTAAGAGAAGTAAATGCAGCAGTTGTCAGAACATTTGCAATGCAATATATCATTAATCAACAAGCATTAAATCCAATATCTCAACTGCATGAACGCTAAATTCTCAGCAAAGAAGAATCGGAAGATAACAACATTTTAGTTTATTAATTCTTAAATGGCGACAGTTTGTAATTTTCATGCTATCTTTCTTGAAAAATTAGAATTGTGGCCATATATGTAAAGCAACAGTTTGCCATGACCAAGAAAAGTACCTTCTCCATGGAATAAAACATCATCAGCATTCAGTTTTTGGCAGTGAAATCTAGATGTACTTAATTTACCTAAACTCACTCTGGCTGCTTAGTTAAAAGAATCAACAAAGAACAAAAGTATCCTATGATAAGATTAAAGGTGTTATAAGGCCCAAATAGACAAATGATTTGACATCCCACGAAATCTTACGATGCGCATCCTAAAGTTACTTGCCATAAAAAAAAATAGTGTGTTCTTACTTCTTACCCTCATTCTGTCATCAAAATTATATCCAAGTTCAGTGTAAATGCCTAGTGCAAATTGTCTCAACTATATAAAGGTATTTCACCACTAAATTATCAACATCTAAATGCAGAAACTCAAATAATAGATGTATTAATTACATGCTTCAGAATAATTACCTTCAAGTGATCCCTTTGCTCGCTATACTTGGAAAGAATGGCAACTCCTGTCGCGAAAGTATCCTCAAGCACTCTGGATGATCGGCGGACCGACTCCATTGCCTGTGCCTCCTCATCAAAAATCTTCAAAACATGCGAATCCCCAGTCTAATACCAAACGACAATGATTAAACAGATGTAAATTTATACAAAAAAATACAAGTTCTCTCATATCCAATAAAGATGTCATACAGCTCTTCCAAGTAATTCTGCCCTCTCTTGGGCCTCTTGCATCCGCTTTTGACGCCTCGCCTGGAGCTTATCCAAGCTAGCTCTGAATGACTCAGCCTCTTCACTGACTAGTTCTACTTTCCTGCACAAAAAAATGTACCACAACTTCCTTCATATGAAAAAATGTAATATACCCAAAAGATGGGGGAAAACCAGGTGATTTAGAAATACTATGTCCTGGTTCTGGAATCAACGAGCAAAGGATCAGGTAATAATTACATTATCCTGACGTTAAGGCTGCTAGCAGAAACTTCTCTATACAAGTTCGAGCTATCATGCTAATGGATGACTACTAATCAAACTGCATTGTACATTGTAAATTCAGTAACAATGTATGAACATTCTTTTAGCATGATTTCTGCCAGAACCTAACACTTAGATGGTTGTCCCATTAAAGCTTATCCAACATAATTGCAATACTATAAATTTTACGAGGTCCTTAAATTGGATGCCACAAAGTAAAACAAAATATATAAACATAACAGAATGGTGTTTCTCTACCAAGAAGTTCAAACTGAATCCCAGGATAAACATGTTTAAATGGATTTACAGCAATGGAATCCATGGAAGACAATACCAATAATTATTATGCATCTTATGATCCTATCCAACTGA